ACACTGTCAACTTACTCAGAGCTGCTGTTGCTGCTGTGGCTCAGAGGGTCAGTGGGACGGCTAGAGTCTAGGACATGAATTCCCAGTGAGTTGATTGCTCTCATTAAAACAGTCACCATTGCCTCTACTGGAAGTTTCTCAAGAACAATCACTCGACAGCGACTTAAAAGAGCAGCGTTGACCTGGAAGGAAGGGTTTTCAGTGGTTGCCCCAATCAGCGTAATCGTCCCACATTCCACATGAGGAAGGAAAGTGTCCTAGTCATGAGAGGAAAACAGAAGTAAATGATTCCAGTCAGTAGCCACCTGCAGAATCCCAAGTAAGTTGGCTATCTATTCTTTCATTTTTCTAATTTCTACCTTTAGATTGTATGCATCTGATATGGACACAACATCCGGAAGACTGTTACTATTGGTTTTTAAGCCTAAACTAACATAACTTGGATGCTAATGTCTAAACCTGATCTCTTATAGAATAACTCTTAGTAGAATTAGTTTCAACATAAATGACTTAAACTATCTCTGTCCAATGCTGTGCTTCAAAAATATTACTTTTCTAAAACTCTCTTTCAGTACAAGTACTCAACTACATTGTTATTCTTCCTAACAAACTTTGTGAATATGTAACTAGCAGGTACTTTCTTATTGGTAAATGTTAAGTCAAGGGTCCCATATAAAACCTAGAATGCCAGGAAGAACTCTAAAGAGTTTTTTCCTAAAAAAGATTCAGAAAAGGAGAAAGTTTATGAAATTTTTGAACCAGTTCTAGCTACAATGTTTTACTATTTAGAAAAACCTCCAAAGTGACTTTGTTTGTAAAAATAGTTTTCTTTTATTCCTGGAAGCTACTGAAATAAATATAAATGACTAGATCTTAGGACATTCACCTGGATAAGAGCCTGAAGGCACAGATAATAAAATTTCAAGTTTGAAAATGCATAATAGAGGGAAAAAAAACCTTAATGATCTTAAAATCAAGTTCAAATGTTCACAGTAATTTTTTAAATTAAAATCTTTAATTTAAATATTTTAAATTAAAATTCCCTAGAAATTGGAAATGAACTAAATGCTGTTTTTCTGATATGGACAGTTCAGGGATATAGCAAACACTTCATTCACACCAGACAAGAATTTCTTGTTACCAAAACATGAGAAAGTGTGGACAGAGTAGACTGACAAGCTTATGCCTCGTGGTATAGTTAGTAATAACAAGTCTCTAGCATTGGTATAGTGCTTTTAACTTTTTAAAGTTATGTCATAAACTCTATTTGATGCACACAATTACCAAAACACAGAAAAGGAAGTTAATATACCTGCTGAGATTTATTGAACCGATGAATCTCATCAATAAAAAGGATGGTTTTCCTTTTGAAAAAGCTCTTTTCATTTTGAGCTTGTTTTATGACATCTCGCACATCATTTGTCTTGGCATTTGTTGCAGACAATGTCACAAACCTTATGCTATGTTTCTTGCTGTTGTTTGCTATGATGTGAGCCAGGGTGGTCTAGAAAAAATACACACAGTTTGAAACACTTATCAGACAAAGCAAGCAGCACCTGTGGGTATTACAAAGCAGCATCAACACTATCAAGCAACTTGAACTCTAAACAATATTCAGAGGCACAGATGATCCGAACTATAAATATAGCAGGAAAGTAGCTAACTATTAAGCTAATCCTGACCTTTTCTCATTTGTCCCTAACCCCTGTGATTCCTTTAATGGGAACTCAAGATCTTTGGAATCCCAGTAAAGAGCAACTGTCTTGATTTAGCAGAGCCTGGGTAACAGCTGTGACCCCTCACCAGAGAAAATTCTCCTTCCTTCATCCAAGAGAGACGCAGTTAAAGGACAGGATAGGACTGATCTTAGAACTGGAGCTCAAAAAGGAAGCTCAAGAAGGCGAGAAAAGGAGTGAATAGTTTCTAAGTTGAGAGCCAGTAACTCCCTAGTACCTGAGATGACAGCAGCCTACTTCTAAATGTCTACTCAGGAAAGAAATTAGAAGCAGCACTTTGATATTGTTGGCATTACTCAATAAATATCACTGCCATTATTAATACTATTCCTATTGTTAGCACTGTACTATGAAGATTGGGGGGAAAATGGGAGGAGTATTCAATGAGAGAAATAATTCTGTTCCTGAATGGAGATACTTTATTTTTTTTGCTGGTCCGAGGGCTTGAACTCAAGGTCTGGGAGCTGTCCCTGAACATTTTTGCTCAAGACTACAACTCTACCTCTTGAGCCACAGCTCCATTTCCAGTTTTCTTGGTGGTTAATTGGAGATGAGTCCCAAGGCCTTTTCTGCTTGGTCTGGCTTTGAACTGTAATCATCAGGTATCAGTCTCCTGCATAGCTAGGATTACAGGCATGAGTCACTGATGCCTGGCAGAGATACTTTGTAAAGCACTGTTAGACACCATGGCTGCTGCTTGACAAATCCCAGCATGTCTGCCTTTTAGACTTGGGGTCTCATGTCACTTAAGATGTGACTGAGCACCAACTGCCTTGATAAGCAGACAGGAGAAACTCTACTTCACTAAATCTTCTATGACACATCCACATCTCCCTGCAGACTTCTGACTTGCAGTTTGGGACCACCAAATATGAGATTATTCATTCTTATGTTGTTATGTAAATACTTCAAAATGACTCCAATGCTCCCTAAATGGGGTAACAACTAAATTCAGAGGGGGCAGGGCAGATGTCAACATGGAATTATTAGGGTGGAAAGTGTAGCTCATAGACTGAGTACATGCATAGCATATGTATGCAAAGTCTTGGGTTCAATTCACAGCACACACATACACACCTGACTGATGCCTGGCCAAAGGGACATGAATACAAACAAGCCACAAAAAGAGAGTGATGCATTTTGGGACTTGGAGGAGAGGTGTGGTAAAGAGATAAATTTTGAATGCTCTTGTGTATGCAAGAGTCTGAACCACAAAGCTAGGAAAGCCCAACACTTGGGCTCATTCTCCTTCCTCTTCTACGGAAAGAGCATCCTACAGTTAAGCATTTCAACTTCCTCTTTCCAGGGCTACCCTCTCCTCCACATTTTTTTCTCAAGTATTTTTCAAATGACATGCTCTCTGAACCCATAACATCTTATCTTTACTACCTTCCTCTGGACTTGGGTCAATTCCTAACGCAGATACATGAACTGAACCCAGAAAAAGGTACTGGGGCTCCTTCAAACAGTATGAAAAAGCCATGTAAATGTTTGATGGAAATGACATGCACAGGTAGAGACATTTCATGAGTCCTGAAAACCACTCTTACACCAACAACTAGTAGAAAAATGAAGCACAATAGAAAAAAAAAGTAACTGCTTTTTCCATATGTACATAAATGTTCCCTTCCAATTCTTCCAACATATTATTATCTTGGATTAGGTAAGCAAAAACCAGGAGTGAGAGAAAAGCAATTAAACAAAAAGGTATTTGGAATCTGAATCCCCATCTTCGCATAAACCTACTATTCATAGGCTTCTGCCTTTAGAAAACGCCCAGCAAGTGTCTCAGGAATTGGGTGGGTTGAATGTGTGACGTTTACACACCCATCACGGCCTCCACTGGAGGACCTGGCACCGCGCCCTCTCCTGGGAGTAAGGTGTCGGGATGCTGAGGACTGTACCCGACCTGGCCCGTGACAGCGGTGTGCTGGGCCCTCGATGGGTCGGCACTCACCTTGCCGCAGCCCGGCGGACCCCACAGGATGAGCGAAGGGATCTCGTTGGCCTCCAGCAGCGACCGGAGAAGCGTCTCCTGGCCCACGGCCCGGCTCTGCCCGATGTAGTCCTGCAGAGTGTCTGGGCGCATCTTGTCGGCCAGCGGCTTGCCCTCCAGCATCTGTCGGATCTCCTCCGCCGCCAGTGCCCGGGGATGCGCACGGCCCGCGCCGGCCACGAAGGTGGCGTCGGCGGCGTCCGCGTCCCAGTGGCCCGGGTCGTCCTCGCCATCTACGTCTGCGTCCCCGTCTCCCTCGCCATCGCCGTCGCCTCCCGCCTCCTCCTCCGGCGCCTCCGTCTCGTCCCAGCTGCGGGGAGACGCGCTGCCCGCCGCGGCGGCGGCCGCTGGCCGCTTCCCCGACCCCTTCCGGGCCGGGCTGCTGGAGCGGGCTACCGGGAAGTCGGGGATGAGGCGGGCGCCGCTGGGCGTGGGCGGCGCGTCGTAGCTCTCCCGGCTCTCGGTCTCGCCGCCGTCGTCGCCCTCTTCGCCCTCGCCCTCGCTGCTCTCGGCCGCCGTCGGGGTGGCCGGCTGCTTCAGCGCCGAGCTCTCCGACAGCCGCCGCCTCTTGGCACCGGGAGGCGAGGCCCCCTTGGCCCGCTCTCCGGCGCGGTGCGGCCCGGCTGTGGGCTCCGCGTGCCCCGCAGGGTGCAGCAGCAGGCAGCGATCCAGGTGCGAGTTGATGTGCGCGGCGGGCATCATCTGCTGGCACACGGGGCACTGCACCTGGTGCAGCTGCGACAGGAAAGGGTCGTCCTCCGGCCCGCTCACCTCCATGGCGGCCGCCGCCCTCCCCGCTTGCCCGACGCGGCCTCACCTGCCACCAAAATACCGAGGGCTCCGATGCCCGCCACTAGGCCCCGTGCCGCGCGACCCTAGCTCGGGGAGGCGGCTGGACGCGCGCGGGCCGGGGGAGGGCGCCGCTCATGCCTCACGTGCGGAGCTCCCGCGTCGGCGCGCCCTCCGCCGGCCGCGGGAAACGCGGCAGATAGCACGTCGGGACCTGTAGTCCGAGACCGATTGCCCCGCCGCAAGCCGCGTCTCGCGCGGACCTTCGAGAAGTGTAGTTCTTTTTAGGTTATTCAGAAGTAGGCAGCGTTTCGCGAGGCACGCCGGGAATTGTAGTTCAATGCCAGCCGCCAGGGCCGCAACTGGTCCACTTCCGGCTCCGCGAAAAGACTTTGTGTGGGGTGGGTGGGAATCGGAGCAGCGCGCCTGTGCAAGTCTGTGCAGCGCCGGAAACGCTCCCCTTCCTCGCGAGTGAGCGGATGGGAGGAGGTGCTATGTTTGTGTCCGGACTGCGGCTTTCTGCGCTCCACTGCCCACGCCCGGGAGATGGATGCGCGCAAGGGTAGGCGCGTAGTGTTGTTTGTAATGAAAGATAAATAGGGAGAAAACAAAACTTTAGAATAGAAAGCCGGAGAAAGGACCTAAACGACTGGAAAAACCTGTACAGTTATACTAATGGGGAAAAAAAGTTCACTTAAGCAGGGGTCAGAGAAACAGAAATGAGGGGCGTTTCCGCCCCTTTAGATTGTTTGCTTTGTGGCCAGAGGCCTGTCACCCGAACACAGTTCTTTTGTTTTTGGTAGATAGTAGTTGCAAATTGGAAAACAATGTAAGCATTCCATGTTGGTAAGAAAATGATGCCAATCTTTTAAAGTTTCAACGCAGGCAGAGACAAAACAAAATTACCACCATAAACATTTTTAAAGGATGAGAATGCATGTAGTTTTCAACATATATATATATATATATATATATGATAATGTTATATATGCATAGCACTCGTCCTGCAGCTTGAACTCGGGCCTGGGCACAGTCCCTGAACTTCTTTTCCTCAAGACTAACACTCTACCTCTTGAACCATGGCTCTCCCCTTCTGGCTTTTTAGCAGTTTATTGGAGGTACAAGTCCTGCCTGGGCTGGCTTTGAACCACAATCCCCAGTGTGCTGCCAGCACCCAGCATACATCTTTGTAGTACTATTTTTCTTTTCTGTAAACTTCCTCATATGTGTATTACATATTTACATATATTAGCTATATACTTATAGTCATGTAAATATATGTGTATACACATACACATATGTATATGTCTACATATACATGTATTAGTTACACTTGTGTTGGTTATGGATATTGAACTTGTGGCCCCTCTGCCTCAGCCTCCCCACTATCTAGGGGTGAAACATTCATTGTTGGTGATCAGCAAGTAAATGAAGGAGAATGCAGACTTATCAAATGTGGCAAAGATAAGAGTTTTAATCTCTCACACAACCATTTCTCATTGAATGTTATTACAGAGTTTTAAGTTTACTTTTCCTCTGAAGACTTGATCTCAGTGTATATAGTAAACTGGCAATAACCCAAAGGAAAAGGAACATATAAATTCTATTATGTAGCTAAAGGCAAAGCAGTTACAGTCTTAAGAAGAACATGATGGATGAATTACACAGAGAAAGAGGCTTGGGCTTCTGGGTGAAGGGAGGTGGTCAATCTGTCTGATAAATTGAGTGGGAGGATGTACACAGCAACGCAGCATTATCTTGTTAAGCAGGTAACTTCCTGTGGCTATCTCTGTCTGGATCAGGTGTTAAACACTCTGTCCAGCCTCTTTCTCTTTCTCTCCTCCTCCCTCTCCACACCATGGATGGATCTTCCCCAGGTAGAAGTGAGAGGAATGACATAGAAACAACTGTTTCTGTGTCTGGTTCTTACTAATGTAGGCACATGTAGGCTTTTTTGTACAAAAAACAGCTTGTCACAGCCATTCTTTTTTCCAGTCCGGGGCTTGAACTCATGGCCTGGGCACTGTCCCTGAGCTTCCTTTGCTCAAGGCTAACATTCTAACACTTGAGCCACAGTGCTATTTCTTACCACAGCCATTCTTATTTGCAGTTTTCTAAAACTGTAGATGTGTCAAAGATTGTAGGTGAATATTTTGTCCTGCATTAAGAACCAGCACCAAAGGATTTTATGATCTTGTTCATATGAGAGGAAAATGACAAGATTTTTTAAATATTTGATATTAGCTATAAAATGGTTGACCCAGTCAGCTTTAAAATTAACAAAGACTTGGGCATATGGTGGTCTTTAAGCCATGCAAAACTTAAAAAAATTAAGAAAACAAACTGAATGTCTGTGAAGTTTCTTGATGTTAATCAACATAAGGCCTAATTTAAAAATATAATAATAGAAAATCTATGTGTAACTATGGTTGGCTTTCCTAGTATTTTCAAATACAGTTCAAGCTTGCACTGTGTACTTACACACACATATAATTTTTAGTCTTTATTTCTTACTGTGTGTTTCCATAAATATTGCTGTGGAAAATATTCATTATGTAATATGGTGCAAAAATTAAGAGGTAAAAAGCTTACATATATGTATAAATATACATATCCACACACATGCATAGATGTATGTATACATATATCCATCCACATATTTTCCTTTTTTTTCTTTTGGTGATGATACTGGGACCTTGTATATGCTAAGGATGAACTCTATTCCAGTCTTATGCTATTCTTCTTCTACAGGTATTTTGCTTACTATATTACATAAAAAAGGAAGAGTAAAAAACAAAGTTTTTCATATATGTGTGTGTATATATATATATATGTGTGTGTGTGTGTGTGTGTATACATATATTGCTCCCCAAACCACAGACATGAGTAGAATTGAATCACTCAGATGTTGGTGAAGTAAAAATGGCCCAAATTTGACTTCAAGAATCTGGATTTGAGTTGGCCATAATGTGATACTGTGTAAAACTCCTTCTCAGCCATAGTCTTGAAATCTAAATTTGGAAGAATAATCCTCACAGTCTCTTGTGAGATTTTTTT